CTGGTTCGCATCGTGATATCAGTTCAGTCACTACTTTAGTCCTTCAGTCGACGTTGTGTCTCGTCTTCACTGGTTAGAGTCGAGTCGTCTAGTCTTCCTAGATCGATGGACTCTGGCTCGTGATCATCAGAAGAATCACGATCGTGTTCAACTGAACTCTCTCGTTTGAGCCTTGTTCACGTGATCGAAGAGGCGGTTGATTTGCCCCACTCGGTCGACCTCTGCTCAGCTCTACTCTGCTCTATTTGTATCTCTCTGTCTCTCTGTATTCGTGACTTTGACTCTCTCAGCACTGTTGTTTGGGTCAAAATTCTTATTTACAGTTTGGCCCACTTTTAGTCATTATTATACTTCAACATGTGAATCTTTGATTTATTACAATGACGAACAACAAAATCCAAGCAATCAGTTGTAAACTCACTGGTGCCAATTATGCTTATTGGGCTAGTGTCATGAAGAATTTCCTTCTTGGTCAGAAAAAATGGTGCTATGTTTCTAGTTCGGTTCCTCGTCCATTGGACTCGAAACAAGAAGGATATTTGACTTCCTGTGACACTTGGGAATGTGATAATGCCCAAGTTCTGACCTGGTTTCATAATTCTATGGATAACCGTATTGGAATGATGTTTTCCAAATACAATACTACCAAGGAGGTGTGGGATTATTTATTAGGTATGTATCAGCAGTCCAACTTTGCCAAGTGGTATAAGTTGGAAACAACTATTCAAAGTGCTCGTCAGCGGGATCAATCTATTCAAGACTTCTACATAGAGATGATAGGCCTCTGGAATCAGTTGGCTCTCATGGAACCATCTAGCCTCAAGGCACTAGACGCTTATGTTGAGTTTCAGGAGCAAGGACGTTTAGTGCAGTTCTTAACGGCTCTATTCCCTCAGTATGAGGCTATCCGTGGTGGCATCCTTCATCGGTCTCATCTCCCCTCTGTGAATGCTATTGTTTGTGAGTTCCTCTCCGAGGAAACCCGTCTTAAGATGGCCAGTCAGACTTTGTCTCCATCTATCTTCTTGGCTTCTACTCAACCTCATCTGCTGTCGAACACCCCACCTCATCAGCTTCAGGCCACTGCAAAGCCCAAGAAGGGGCCACTAGTCTCTGATGAGTGTGTTTTTTGCCATCAGAAAGGTTATTAGAAGTACAACTACCCCAAGAAGGGTCATCAGTCTTATTAACCATCTCAACCACAGTTCTGAGGTCCTACTTCGAGCACTTTTCACCCTCCTGCTGCTTATACTGCTCCGGCTTCTGATCCTGACTTAGCTTCCTTGAGTGCCCAAATTGCTCAGCTTCAACATCTCTGGTCCACCTCTCAGTCATCTTCATCTGCCTTTGTTCTTACCTCTTTTCCTTCAGGTTTGCTTGGGTCATCTTCAGGTATTCCTTCCTCTGTCTGGCTTTTTGATTTTGGTGTCTCTCATCATATGACTCCTCATCTTTCCTTACTCCAAAACTGTATCCCCCCTCCCTTTCCTATTACTATCAATATTGCTAATGGGTCTGGTATGTCTGTCCTATCTATTGGGTCTGTTTTACCCTCTACCTTGTCTGCTGTTATTATTTCCTCTGTTATTTATGTTCCTCAACTGTCTGTTAGTTTGCTTTCTATCAGTCAGCTTGATGCTTTTGGTTTTGATGTTATCTTTTCTTCTTATATCTGTTGTGTGCAGGATCGGGTGTCCAAGAAGCAGATTGGGACTCTATGTGGTAGAAAGCCTGCATCTTCCCCTGCATCTTCCTCTGTTTACCTCCCCTGTTACACTTTCATCTTTTCAGTTATATTCTCAGTCGAGTCAATTTTATTTATGGCATTCTCGCTTAGCTCATTTGTTTGTTGACCGCTTGCGGTCTTTAGCTCAGTCAGAATTGTTAGGTCAAGTTTCTCCTAGTCAAATTAATGAGTGTAGAGTATGTAAACTTGCTAAAATGACAGTTTTACCATTTAATAACAATACTTTTATTTTTGCTTCCCCTTTTTCTCTTGTACACACTGATGTCTGGGAACCTTCTCATGTTCTCACTAAAAGAGGTTCTATGTACTATGTGTGTCCTTTGTTGATGATTGCACCTGCTATACCTGGATTTATCTTATGGCTCATAAATCTGACTTCTACCAAATATATCATACCTTTCAGTCTATGATCACTACACAATTGAGGCCACAATTAAAATACTCTGGTCTGGCTTAGGTGGAGAATACTTTAAAACTGAATTCTGTGAGTATTTGGCCAAATTGGGCACCATTCACCAAACCTCGTGTACTGATACCCCTGCCCAAAATGGTTATGCTGAGCGTAAACACTGTCATCTCCTTGAGACAGCTCGATCTCTTCTTCTCTCTGCCTCCATTCCGGCACCATTCTGGGGTGAGGCAGTTCTTACTACTGCTTTCCTCCTTAATCACATGTCGACTCCCCTACTCTCCAGTCGATCCCCTTATAAGGCTGTGTATTCCCAACCTCCCAATTATTCCCTCATGCATGTCTTTGGGTCTGCTTGTTTTGTCCTCCTTCCTCGTAAAGACAAAACCAAACTCAGTGCCCGGTCTGTCTTGTGTGTCATTTGGGGTATAGTCTTACTCAAAAAGGCTACCGCTATTACAATCCTGTCTCTCGACATGTTATCTTTCTTGAATGTTTGTCTTACTTTCAGCTTCTCCCTCTCACTGCTCCAGTTTCCAAAGAGGATTTAGTTCACATTGACCCATTTCCTTCTGAGGACCCATCTGATGAGTACATCTCCATTGTTCCTCTTGAGCCCATTCCTACTTCTCTGTCTACGTCACCTATGGCTCATTCTCCTCCTTCAGCTTCTTATTCTCCTTCGTTGTTGGTCTATTCTTATCATTGCCAGGCTCCTTCACCACCAATTATCTCTACTCCTGTTGATGCTCCTTTTACTTCTGATGACTCTGATCCTGCTACTCACTGATATGCTACTCGTCAGTGTTGTCCTCTAAACAGGTTGAGTTGGTCTAATACATGTTTTTCTACTTCCTGTCATACTTTTTCATCTGTTATTCATTCTTTTTCAGAACCTCAGTCTTACACGAAGGCTTGTCAGGATCCTAATTGGATTTAAGCTATGGAGGATAAGTTGTTTGCCTTGCATTAGACTCACACTTGGGAGTTGGTTCCTTTGCTTGCTGGCAAAAATATGATTGGTTGCAAATGGGTCTATAAAGTCAAGACTCATTCTGATGGTTCTCTCAAGCGATACAAAGCTCGCTTGGTTGCAAAGGGTTTCTCGCAAGAGTATGGTATTGATTATGAGGAGATATTTGCCCCTGTTGCTAAGATGACTACAGTCCGTACCTTGATTTCCATTGTTGTTGTTCGACATTGACCTCTTTATCAAATGGACGTTAAGAATGCTTTTCTTAATGGTCATCTCACTGAAGAAGTCTACATGTGTCCTCTCTTTAGCCTTCTCCACTCATCTGGGTAGGTTTGTCATCTTCAGCATGCTCTGTATGGTTTGAAGCAATCTCTTCGTGCTTGGTATGATCGCTTTTAGACTACTGTTACCAAGTTTCGGTTTCATCCTTTTACTTCCGACTCTGCTTTGTTTTTGAGACATACTTCAGCTGGTTTTGTTGCTCTCTTACTCTATGTGGATGATATGATCATCACTGGCTCTAACTCTTCTGCTATCTCCGAGGTCAAGCAACATCTCTTCCGTACCTTCGAAATGAAATATCTAGGTTCATTGCAATATTTTCTTGGTATTGAGGTTGCCTCTTCTCCAAATGGCTATTTCATATCTCAAGCAAAATATGCTAATAGGGTTTTCACCGTGCTGGTCTTACTGATACTAAGATTTCTAATACACCTATTAAGCTTAATGTTAAGCTCAACTCTACTGCTAGTGTCTCTCTAGATGATCTCACTGTCTATTGCGAGCTTGTGGATTGTTTAGTTTATTTGACTATTACTCGCACTGATCTTGCTTTTGCTATGCATGTGGTTAGTCAGTTCGTTTCTACCCCTCGCTCTATCCATTGAGCTGCTTTGGTTCGCATTCTTCGCTATCTCCAGGGTACCATCTTTCAGGATTTGCTGTTGTCCTTTACTTTCTCTTTAGACTTGGTGGCCTATGCTGATTCTAATTGGGTTGGTGACGTTAATGATCGTAAGTCCACCTTTGGTTTCTGTATGTTTCTTGGCAATTCATTGATCTCTTGGAAAAGCAAGAAACAAACTGTTGTTGCTCGTTCTACTGCCGAAGCTGAGTACCGTGCTATGACTCATGCTACTACTGAGCTTGTTTGGCTTCGTTGTCTTCTCTCTGATTTGGGTGTCCCTCAATTTCCTCTGATCTCTCTCTATTGCGACAACCGTAGTGCTATTCAGATTGCCCACAATATTGTCTTCCATGAACGGACGAAACACATTGAGATTGATTGTCACTTTGTCCGACAGCATCTGCAGTCTGGCTCTCTCTCACTTCCTTTTATCTCTCCGGCTTTGCAACTTGCGGACTTCTTCACGAAGACTCGCACTACCGCTCGGTTTCAGTTTCTTCTTAGCAAACTCTCAGTGTTTTCTACTGAAACACCTTGAGTTTGAGCTGGGGTGTGAGAATATATTGTATATATGTCATGATTGTATATATGACATGGTTATGTATATTAGGAATTAGGCATTAATTTGGCGTATGTATTTCCTTTTTCAATCATTCCTTGTTCAGCCATATATTAGGGCTATATAAATTGATGGATACTTTATAAACATTAACAGTTGAATATACAAAAAACATTCAGAAATCTTACAGAGCCCTCGATACAATACACATTTCATACTTTCTGTGATGAATTTAATCGCCAAAATATAAATAAATAATCAATTTAAAAATATAAAAATACAAATATAATAGCAATGGTTTAATTTATAAATGAAAGATGATAATAAAATTTTTGTTGCTCTAAAAAGTCGAATATTGAAATATTCAGAATCAAAATTAATTTTCATTCTATGTGACTGTAGCATAGAGCCCTGCAAGAGGAGAACACTCACCTCCAGAAAAGAGTGAGAATCTAAATCTATGTAATCTAATTTGATTTTTATTACTTCCTATTCATTACTGAATATAGGAATGATAAATGAACTAATCAGTTCAAGCTTGACTTGTGTTCGACTCGTTAAAAATTTGTTTGACATTTCATGAAGTAAACAAGTCAATTTTAAATATATTTTAAAACTTGTTAAAGTTTTGAATAGAAAATTACTCATTCGGCTAAGTGCAATAAGCCTAAAACTATATAAAAATATCGAATAAATCAAGATCGGGTCGAAATTTAACAAATCAAGCTTGAACAATTAACTGTTCTGCTTATTTAGTTCGTTTATCATCCTAACTGCACATCACTTAAGAGTTACTGAAATGTATGTTTTGCATGAGGTAAAGCTTAATGACTTGCAAGACACTGATGGGAGCTCCAGAACATTTGCACCGGGCACAAGTGGCACACTCAATGCCTTTCAAAGGTATGCATAACATTTGCAGCTTTGCTTTGCTTTATTTTTATTTTTATTTTTATTTAAATAAGAGCATCTCCGATAGTTGTTACAATAATACTATTGTTATTGCTATAATTTGGCAATAAATAGTGCTATTTAGCCAAATTATAGCAATGTTGTTCTAATGATCATTTGCTATTTTGGTAATTCTCAACCAACTTTCCCTCCTAGTTTGTAGGTATTGTTTGGATATAGGTTTTTTTGTGATTTTATTTTTATTTATTTTTTGTCTTTTATGACCTTTTTTTTAACTATTTGTAAAAAAAATATATATATATTTATATTATTCCTGACTAGACAAATATAAAAAATTAAAGAAATTTGATAACAAATATTTACTTGTCAAATTTGATAACAAATATAGCATATGTCATTTTTGGCAAGTAAAATAGCAAGCCATTGGAGACCTATTTTTTTATCACTATTGCTAAATTATAGCTTTGGCAAGTGTTTTGAGAGCTCCATTAGAGATGTTCTAAGAAACCCTAAAACCCACTTTCAATAAGATTTCAACATAAAATTTTACATATATGTAATTATCTACTAGGTTCATATATCAGACGAAATAAGGACTCAAACTTAAGACTTCCTGATTCATTACTAGGGATTTACTATTCGAGCTAGCCTTGTAATTTTGAAGAATTGTTATTAGATTTTTATATATCCAAATAATGTTTATCAATTTAACAATCCCCACCACTTTAAAATTTTTGTACCTCACTAGGAATAGGAGGTAAGAGGTTCAACTTTTTCTATTTATGTGTGAATCTTACTCCGGTATATTTGTTTGCGAATTTGTTGGATAATAAATGTGCAATTTAATATAAATTTCATGATATTTCAAAACAAAGAAAGTTAAGAAAGCCCAAGAAATAGTTCAATAATCAATTAACAACATAAGGACTCAAACTTAAGACTTCCTGATTCATTACTAGGGATTTACTATTCGAGCTAGCCTTGTAATTTTGAAGAATTGTTATTAGATTTTTATATATCCAAATAATGTTTATCAATTTAACAATCCCCACCACTTTAAAATTTTTGTACCTCACTAGCAATAGGAGGTAAGAGGTTCAACTTTTTCTATTTATGTGTGAATCTTACTCCGGTATATTTGTTTGAGAATTTGTTGGATAATAAATGTTCGATTTAATATAAATTTCATGATATTTCAAAACAAAGAAAGTTAAGAAACTTCACTCAATGTTGCTGATGCTACTTATCTATACGTAGAGGGTTTATGATGCATTATTAATCAAACAGAACATTTTATAGAAATTTTGTACATAATGATGTAGTTGAACTAGGGCTATTGAACCAACAGGCTAGAACTCATAAATTTCAGTAAAAGGCAAGTGGTTCAAATCTTTTTACCTGCATGTGTAGGGATGGCAATGGATCAGGTATGGGTCCCCATACCCCACTCCCACTCCCACTCCCACTCCCACTCCTATTTCCGCTCCTTGCCTTCACCTGCGACCTGACCCGACCTCTCACCCTCATCAAACTCTTCCCTACTCCCCTCCCAAATCTGCAAATGTAAACCCACCCCGACCCTACCCGATCTACAACACGATAAGAAATTTAATAATAATATTGAAATTTAATAATTAAACCTAGAAAATGATATTTATAATTAAAATAATATATTATATATTATACAAATATTAAAACTATATTATATATATATAACATGATAGAAACTCAATAAAATATTGTATAGATATTATATATATTCTATAAAAACTTAAATACATATCCCGTCCCCAATCCAAACCTGATCGGATTGTTTAAAAAAAATTCAAATATGATATTACCCTGTTCAACCACCCCCAAACTCATCCCATTAGAGTCAAGGAGAGTCGGGAAGTTGACACATTTGGTGATTTTGCCATATTACATATGCTATTTATGGACGTATTTTTCATTAAAAAAAAATATTAACAGTTATAATCAGCTAGGACAAATTCAGATAAAATTAGAAATTCATGATCAAAATTGAGTCAAATAGAATTATAAAGATCAAAATAACATGAGGATTAAAATATAGAGACTACCGGCATAATTTATTTATTTATTTATTTTTGGGAAGAAACCTTGGGGTTGATCAGTTATATGTTGACCACTTTTATGATCAAATTGCAGGCTATTGTATGATGGATTGGCTGAATCCTGAACAGGCCAAAAATGCTCACTCAGCAGATAATATAAGGCAGCTTCAATTATTTGCTATAAATGATGTGATAGTGGCTTCATCTGCCAAACTTCGTAAGGTGTGTGTTTATCTGTACTGTGGTTAATAGTTTGAAGTGTTTGATGCGTAAATTATAAACATGTCTAGTGCTGTTGATGTGTGAAGTAAATATTTCAAGTAAAATTGATGAAATATAAACAACCTAAAAGTTTTTTTTTTCTTTTTTTCTTTTTGGTTTGTTTTGTTTTATTTAAAAAATAATAAAATAACAAATCTCCAAAAGTCCATTATAATTTATTTTTTCTCTTATCACTCAATGGTTTTTAAGCAATATAACACTTATATAAGTCATTTTATGAAACAGTGGCTCTGGAGATCCTTTGTTAAAAGATTACAGTAGTACAAAGATTAATTCTCCATTCATTTGGATGAAAAATATTTTTTTAGTGTTTGATATAATAAAAAATAAAAATTAACAAAAAAAAAATTTCATGATCAATAAAAAATAAGTTTATATGAATAGAAAATATTTTTTACTTTTAAAAAACGGAAAATATTTTCAGGATTAAAGTTTTACCAATATTACCGTGCCACCATCACCACAGTCACTGCCACCATCATCGTCACTATCGCCGCCACCGGCATCCCACCACTATACCACCACCTTCACCTCCAACTTCGTTCCACCACCACCAAATATAGAAAAAAAAAATTCCAAAAAATATTATTTAAAAAAAAATTCTGTAGAAAATATTTTCTATTAGAAAATGTTTTCTACTCAAACAAACGGGAGCGTACGACAAAAGATTTCTAATACTCCAATTAGGAGTGAGCAACGGATATACCGATCCGCCAAAACTAACAAAACCAAACCGATCCGCCGCATTTTGGACGGATGCGTGATGACAAGCGGACGGTTGTGGATTAATTTTCTCCAATCTGCCAATTTGGCAGACGGATAGCGGATTTGAGATTCCTTTGGCTGCAACCGAACCGCTAAACCGCGAGTGCCCTTAGTAATTTATAAGGCTTTGTGTTTTCAATTTGTTTAAATATTTTGTTTGTGTTTCAATTGAAAAAAAGTTCAAGTATTCTGTTGAAAAAAAGTTTTCAACTTGAATATATTTTTTGAATTGAAAAAAATAAACGTATTATTTATTTATATTTTTTTGTTTTTAAATCTAACTCTAAAAGTAATAAATAGAAAATATGATATATGTTGGTTGGTTTTTGTTTTCAAAAACATATATAAATGTAACAATACAAATACATACAATCTCTACTATTGCTCTGTTCATGGTTTTGGTGGTTTGAATTGTTTTTATATTTTAAGAACCACGGATTGTAATACTTTATGTGGATGGGGCATGCTGTGATTGTGATATTCTAAAATTTCAAACTTTCTTTCTTTAGATGAGACATGCAGTAATTGTAATACTTTTTTAAGTCATTGACTGAAATACTTTCCTTTTTTTTTTCTTTTTTTTGAGGAAGTGCACAAGTTGAACTATGTTGAAAATTTATAAAAATTTCAAACCGCCAAACCGATTCGCATCAATCCGCCAATCCGCTCAATCCACATCCACAGGATTGGCGGACGGATGCGGATTGATTTTCTCCAATCCGCCAATCTGGCAAATGGATGGCGGATTGGAAGTTCTGTAACCGCAACCGACCCGCGTCCACCCCTAACTCCAATATTTTGAAGGCCAGATTCGAAAAAATATATTATTTTACACTAATGCACAACGGTTTTGGCAGTGATTTCATTTTAGAATTGTGCCACAATATAAAAATTCAATAATAGTATTTATTTTCGATATAATAAATATTTTTGAAATCATTTCATTAACATCTTCACAATAAGACTAATGATTAATATCAAATTCTAAATAAATAAAAAATAGCGAAAATTCACTATGATCTCTATTACCAAAACGGTGAAATCTCATTGTCTCCTGACAGTGAAATCTTACTGCTATTTCCACACAAAAAAAATCTATCTTTTCATCGAGACAGTGAAATTCACTGTTTTCAAACAATGAAATTGTCCACAGAAGATAAAAATTGCAAAATTGAAGGCTAAGGACAAAAATCTGAGTAACTAAGGCTCCGCTTGGGAAGAAAAAAGTCAGGCTTTTTTTTGACTAAAATAGCCACAAAAAACAAAGGAAAATTTACCCATAAGTCCTAACTTCTGAAAAGTTGAACCATTTAGTCCTAAAAGTTTTCTTATGCTCCATTTAGTCCCATTTGCACATCAATCTAATGTTCGAAACATTAATCTGATGTTCGAAATCTAATGTTCGAAACATTAATCTGATGTTTGAAACATTGTAATGGGACCTTTCAGTCTATAAGAAAACTTTTAGGACTAAACAGTGTATAAGTTATTAATTTGGGATTTATTGGTGCATTCCCCAAAAACAAAATAGGCTATTTTAGCCACAAAAAACGAAACATCAAATCCAATCCATAATCATTACAATCCTCTCTCACAAAAAAAGTCAAAAAAATCAAAAAACCCTTCCCAAACCAGGATAAAATAACCCAAGCTAAAATAGCCAAAAAGTCAAAAAGCCAACCCACTTCTCAAACGGAGGCTAAATATAAATTTAGGATTAAATTTTTCAAATTGATGACTCTTAAATGACGAAATTAAACATTTCTCGGTTCAAAAACAGAAGAAAAATGTTTGGTTTGTTTTTCAGATAAATTTTTGAAAAAAATTCTCTACAAATAAATTTTTAAGAGTAATCAACCAAAACAAATTTTTTCAAAAAAAATCTTAAAATTTTATTTGGTTACCTACTTTCCAAAATCACTCTCTCTCTCATACACATCAAATCAATCACTTTTTTTAAACTCTCTCCCCTCTTTCCCCAAAATAATTTTTCAAAACCATTTTTGAAAAAAGACAAACCAAACAAATTTTCGTATTTTTTATCTCAAAAACTACTCTACAAAAACAAATCAAGCACACCCCCGATGAAGAAATTTCTAGCATGACCACATACTAAACATATCATTCGACCACAAACCATTCACAAAAGTCCTTAATTATTATTCTTCATATGCAAATACTAATAAGGATATTTATACAAAAAATATTTTGATAATTGTAAAAATGTTAAAAAGAAGTTTTAAAATGAGTGCAAATTAGTGAAATCTGTCTTTGGGTTTTATACTTTTTTTTGTCTTTTCTTGCACGGTGAAACACTTGTTAGCAAGACTCTTTAGATGAATACAAAACCAATTTAGGTTTAAGGTAGGTTTTAAAAAAAACGAGACTCTTTAGATGAATACAAAACACTTACTAATTTTCCAATTTAGGTTTAAGGTAGGTATTAAAAAAAAACAACAATGCTTGGTAGTCGAATTTCCATAGCTCAAATGCCTCAAAACAAAACGACGTCATTTTGATATATTCGAGCCATTTAGGCCACACAAATTCGAACTATCAAACATTTTTCTAAAAAAATTAATGATCTTTTTTCTTGTGTTGCTGACTGGAGGTCCACACGGTTATAGGGCTGGTATATTATTGTGTTTGAACGTAGGCTAGGTTTGTTAAACTGGATAGCATGGGCATGTAAGGTCCATATGCTACTTGGAGTGGATTGGAATTGGTTTTAACGGCAACGTTTGTTTTGATTTTAAACTTGTTTCACAAAATTTTTATTAAAAAATTTAAAATTAATTTGGTGAAAAAAATAAAAAAATAATTATTATTTTTATATAATTTTATCTTTTGAGAGGTCAAAAATAATTTTAAAAATATCTTTTAATATCTATTTTTATCAAATTAATTTTTTTTTTCAAAAACATTTCTAGAATATTTTTACATGTCAATTTTTTATTATTATGACCAACTCAATAATGTAAATCCAAACTTTTTTTTGGCATTTCTCATTGGTTATATTGTGCTCATACTAGCCTGACGTAAGTTTTTATTGTTTTCTAACAATTGGATTGATAGAGGTAACAACTCAAATTATTTAAATTCTTTTTATTAATTGATATGAGTGTAATTATAAATATAAAAAATATTTATATAGATTACTAACTCACAATAATTAAAAAATCAATAAAACCTAATAACTAATAAACTAAGCCCACCAACCCCCCTATAATGAAAGAAAAATAAACTTTACCATATATGATATCAAACCTCCATACTATAAGAATTGATCCCAATCCACACCACAAAAAAGTATTATATAAGAGTGGTGTTACATATATCAATTATTATACTAACTAGTGTACTAATACTAATTATGACATTATTATTGGCCTCACTCATTATACAAATTACAAAAAGTAAAAATATCTTAAAATATGTCACATCATTAATTGATACACTAGCTGGTATACTAATTGATACATATGAGATTAGCCTTTATAAAATCACTTGGCCAAATACTCAAATACATTGATTGGTCACAAAACTTGTAATGAATTCAATTCGGTGAAATTACATGCACCAATTAGTATACTCACTAATATACCAACACGAGTAATGATATTATTGTTGACCCACTCATTACACAAATTACAAATACAAAAGTCTCTTAAATTATGTTACATTATCAATTGATATACTAGTTAATACATAATTAGTACACTAGTTATTCAATTCAATCAATATCAATCATTTCAAATTCATTTAAATTCATCCGTATTCATAAACGAAATTAAATAAAATGAGTACCCATCTACGGGCTATTTAACAATACAATTAAAAATCAATTTTTAATTTTTTTTACTTTTTTTAAGTCACATCACATCTCGATTTTTATTTTTTATTTTTTATTTGTATAATTTTTTAAAAACAATTAAAAAAATCAAAAACAATTAGCTTTAAATCTACTATCTAAAATAAACTAAAATATGTACCACCTCTACTGTCACCACCACTTCCTCCACTATCCCACCAACACCTCCACCCCCAACGACGTCCGCTCCACCTTGACACCAATAAAGTAAATGGGCTGGTTAATCTTTTTTGATACAAATGGGCTAATTAAGTTGATTCATACACAATGCAACTCAATTATTTTTTTCTTTTTCTTGTCAATCGATAGAAGAATAATTACAAACATAAATATATATATACAACCCCATATTGGAAAAAAAAGTAAAAATCACAAATATAACTCTTTTTCATAAGAATTGAACCAACAATCTTACAACCAAAAGGCCCCATTT